GGGAAGCCCCCTCAGTCCCATCCTGGCTGATATCTACATGCATTATTATGAATCAAAATTGTTTCAAACTTTAAACTTCCCGGCATGGTTCCGCCGCTACGTAGACGATACTTTTACCCTGTTTGAAGGTAATAAAGATGATTTAAAATAAAGTTTCTGTCAACAATGAATTCTATTTATCCTGCTATTCAGTTCACTTTTGAACTTGAGACTTGCAATTCTCTTCCGTTTGTCGACATTCTGGTCACACGTAACACATCCCACTTCAGTACTACAGTTTACCCGTAAACCTTCATCGGTTTGCCTTCCACACACTTTAAATCATGTCATCCGACTAAACAAAAGTTAGCTTCATTTTATTCCTATGTTTTTCCGTGCTCTTTCAAGTTTGCTCCTCCAAACTAGCCCTTGATGAAGAACTAAATTATTTAAAAGCAATAGCTATTGACAGGGGCTTTTCACCCAACATTATTAATCAAGCAGTTAAAAAATTCTCATCTGAACACACTAAAAGCCACACTCTTATTTTAGGAGATTATAAAAATTCTGTTGTCATTCCCTTCTTTCCATCAATTAGCTATAAAGTTGCCACATATTTGCAGAAATTTAACTTTCGGGTTGTTTATTCTCCCATCAATAAAATTCCAACTTCTATACTCAAGGACCCCATTCCGGATATGAATTCCTGGGGTATTTTATAGGATTCCTTGCCAGTGTGGTTTAATTTACATTGGCCAAACTAAGAGAGCCTTAAATTTTCGCGTCAAAGAACATGAGGCATATGTTAGAAAAAAGGAAACACAGAAGTCTTCTGTTGCTCAACATTGTTGGTCCGAAAATCACACTTTCAATTTTCTGCTGCCAAAAATTATTCAAAAAACATCTTCCATTGGAGAACTGGATTTTCTAGAGGCATTTCACATTCATAAAAAATTCTTTCTGTTCTAGTTAACGATCCCTAATTCCAATCCAAATCTTCACCTTCAGGCTTTTAGAAGAAATTATATTTTAGTTCTGGTTTCGCCAACAGATGGCGCCACTATGCTTATCTCCTGTTCCAGGCTTTTTTATCTTATCTCTATCTAATCATTATTTCCAATCTCTTGTTCATTTGCGGTTTTGCAGCTGAGGCTGATGGTTCGGTAAAACCATCGAAACTAGTCCTGTGAAAATTTTGTAGGTATAACGCTGATTTTTGTTGTTTGACTTCTGAATTAGTATTTATTCGGCGTGTTATTGTGTCTTAATTAAGCAGATCATTGTTCACTACGAGAACAGCCAAATTTTAATCTTTCTGATATGCTAACATAATTTGTTGTAGGCCAGTGGATAATAGATAAAAACCTAAAATTACTTACGCTGAGAATTAAAACAGAAAAATAATTGGAAATTGGAAAAAGAACGCTTTTCTCTCAGTAGCTAAACAATATAATACTACAAGCATAAATTCGCAAAAGGAAACTGAAAGGCAAGATTTGCTACACTAAATTCTACTTTTTTTGGTTTCTGCGAACCAATAAAGTAACATTGTTCCATCGATCAAAGCGATATCAGATATTATATTTTTTTGTTTTAAAATAAATACTTACACATAGTGTAACAAAATCAGGAAATTTTTTTTTCTCAATTATGGATGATACTATTCTTTTTTAAAATGTTAATATTTTTGAGAAGAGTATATTCCAAGCATAAAATAATCTCAGATATTTTTAAAGACCCTTCTAATGTGCTTTAGACTGGCGAGAATTTAACTGCAAAATGTAAAAGAATTCAATATAAAAGAATCTCACAAAAAGAATCAAAGATTCTAGAGGTTGGAGCTTATTTAAAATGCAACAAAATGAAGGTGCTCCAACTAATCCATGGTGGGTTTTCAAATGTAATGAAAGCGCGCTTTTCTTTAAATCCCAAACCAGGAAAAGAATGAGAATTTTAGTTTCTCTGCTCTTATTACCCAGTGTAATAGATAAATTTTCACTAACAACAGTGGTTTATACTTAAATAGGCTTAAAAATGTAGAGACTTAGTTCAGTACATTCAATTATTAAACGTTTCCGAATCTTACATTTCTGCAGAGTCAATTGACCTTGATGAGTTTCAATCATTCTTCGTTTTTATTTCCTTATACGAAGTAAAGGGAGTATTGTAAACATTAAAAATTCTGGGTATCATATTTCAACGAAAATATCTATTTTCACTGCTATCGAATGCAATTTAACAATGTTTTTGCGCAACATCTGTACGTAAGGACAGAATAAAGGACTATTTGTTCCTAAACGATAATGATAAAATGGATTTTAAATGAATTCAGAAGAGATTTACTTCGTGGGGTCTGCATGTACATACGTACATATGTATATATTTCGCATAACTCGAAAACGAGTAGTAGAACTTTGATATTTTGTGTATAGGACTGCTATAACATGTAGTTGTGCACCTCCCTTTTTAGTTGCAATCGACAACACCAAAATTATATATATATATATATATAAACCACTCTGTTACTCGGCTCGGTGAGCTCAATTTTTTAAAATTTTTATATGCTTGTAAAATGTGCATTTTTTGCTTTACAAATGATTGAATTATGATGTTCTTATCTTTCGGTTAAGGTTTTTATGCCTTTAGTTAATCTGCATGCAATAGTTGCAGAACTTTTAACAATTTAAAAGTTGTTTAAGTGCGGCTAAGTCTAATTGTTTTTACCACAGCAGACATATTTGTTTAATTTGAAACTTAGCAGAATAGTAAATTAAGTCAGTTCCTGCACCTTCAGCGTCATTTTGCCGAGTAGGACCAAAAGGAAACTTTTAGTTTTGTGCTCCGAAAAATCTGTCTTCTTGCCTGCTGGCCGAACTGCTTGATTTTTCAAATTGTTTTAACTGCATTTGGTGTTTTATGGTTTTCTATATCTTTCAATTTTTAATGAAGATGTTTTGAGGATTTTATGCATTTTTGTCCTGCCGTGAAGTGAAAACTGAGTTATTTGAATGAAAAATCTATCTCTAATGAAATCAGATGAAATACGCGTATTTCATCTGATTTTTGCAATTTTTGCTGCATTTCATTTAAACATGAAATGCAGCAAAAATTGTGTATAATTTAATATTCCGTGCAAAGAAGTCCTGTGGTGTCAGCATGTCATTTTTTTCCATAAAGTTTCGTAAATAATTTATTGAATGAGCTAAATATCTCACTACGGATACATTTATCCATACTGACTGGATGAAGTGTAATTATACGGTATACAGAATGGTAATGAATAGCCATTATTACTCAGATTTACTTTAAAAATGTGCAGAAGAATAATCTATCAACTAATAAATTACAAAATGCAATAAATTTGAAGACAAAATTTGTATCAATCTTTTGTAAGCAAATATTCAATCTACTTTAATTAAATATTTACGGAATGCTAAGAAGTTTCGTTTAAAAAATATACAATTTAGCTCACTAAAGTTATTATTTCCACATTGCAAAGTGCGGATAAGTAAATGTGCACTTTGTTGCAAATTGTTACAAAGAGTGTAAGAAAAAATGTATGTAATGCGATGTAAGCTATAACTTAAATTTTAAAGTATTAAAGTAAAATTAACCTACGGCAAAACTGTTTTCTATACCTTTCGGTATAAATGATCTAATGAGAAAAATTAAAACTTTTAGCTTGGAACTTTCTTTCTATTGTCTCCTACTTCCTGAATATTTTGTTTTCTTCGAGTACTTGAATATGTTACAAATAATTCTTTCTTTATCCTAGCATTGTTTGAGGAAAGAAGAAAGTACATTTTAAATTTCATGATATAATTTTAAATACTACATGGATGATAATAATTTCTCCATAACAGCTTAAATCCTTCTCTTTGTGTAGAGAATATATTTAAGTAGCATAAAACTGTGGGAGCTTAGCCAGAAAATCTGATGATTTTATTTCTTACCTGAACTTAAGATATAAGTATTTATTTTGAATTTGGCTTAAAGTATATAATAAAATAGTTTTAAAAAGTTATTATTTAGTAATCTGCACAACAGATTATGTGACAACGAAATTCTTTTATGTATACTGATATATTGAAGGAAATTTGGTATTAAAGGTTATTAATTAATGTCTTATTTACTTAATCCTATAGTTTAGATTCCGGAAATATTGATAAGAAGTATATTTATTTTTTACATACAAATTTGATTACTTCTTATACATTTATTTAAGTTTCATGCTACTAAACGTTTGAAGGAGAAAATCTTAGAAAAAGATACTGAACAGGAAATAAATGGTTTCTTTCAGATCAATTGCAGCAGTTTCTTTCCAAACTCCGTTTAATCACCCACTAGTGTGACAAGTGTTTAAACATAAAAAATGTTTACTCTACTTAACTTTTTATCTGAAATCTTAGATTCAACACTATAGTTCACCGAGAGAATCTTTCAATAAAATAGTTTCTTAACAGAAAAGTTGCACAAACTTTCCTTAATTTTTTTTTGTATCAAAACTTCTTTTGAATTTCCTGTCAAATTATTGGTTAAGATTTATCGAAATCATTATATGTATGAGTAAATGCTAGGATTTCAAAATTTTTGTATGAATAATATATAGGATAACTGTTGTATCTCCCTGCTTTATTATAAATTATCGAACATTAAGCTTTCAATAATAAAATTAAAATGCATTTAAACTTAAATATTTGCTGCATTAAATTTAATAAATATCCTGTAACTGAAAATTATTTAATTGTTTCAGTTAGGAAAAATATATGTGATAATTTTAGTAACATATTTCTACTTTATGAACTTAATTAATAAAAAAAAAGCTGTCACTCACTTTAGTCAGCCTACTCTTCTTTTCGTAAATTTAACTTAATGTTTGTTTAATTACTGCATGTTTTTACCGAATATACATGTGCTTCTCTTGTTTCTAGTTATAGCTTCCATTTTATTTTTATGCATTTTATTTCGCCCTTTTTTCCTAGCCATTTGTTTAAATCTTGAACTAGGAACAGATAAGACAATAATAGACAAAAACAGATTAATTTATTAACATTTATTATTTTACTTACATATTCAGAGTTCACCAGTCATATTACACATAATACATACATCATTCATAAAGACTTATTTTGAAACGAAATCTTCCAAAGTAAATCACTTGATTATCATTCCAGGAATAAGAATCCTAAGCAAATTACAATTTCAAAACATGAATTCTTAAAAATAAATCCATTTGGTTGTTCTTTTTAATTTTTGGTATGATTTAAATCGGTTTAGTATGTACACAAGAGGATATGATATTCAAAGCTCTTTTTCATGCCCAGTACTTCTTTAAAATTACAGCAAAACGATTCGGTAGCATCCACGCAGTTTGAAAAACTGCTTAAAATTACACATAAAAGAAATAAATAATTTAAGCAAAAATTATTTTAACCAAAACGCAAGAAAACATTTTTGGATCCATCTTTCTTTCCAAGTTGTTTGTACTCATCATATGGTGCCATAATATTTTGCTCGTAATCTGGGTATTCTAGAGTTCCGTCCAACCCTTCTGGATGGTAAAAAGAGGGTGAAGCGGAATTTTGGAGGTCATCGTCATGAGGAAAAATTTCTGCATCAGGTTCGGCAGCCGGATCGTAATGGACAAATGTGACAAGAGGAGAATGCCCATCAGATAAATCTCTCTTCATTCTACTCAGATTTTTCGCGGAATAATTAGCATCAGCCTGCAGCTGATTCCTTTCGGTGCTAGCTTCCAAATGTTCGTCAACTGATCTCTTGCCAAAATGGATCATGGCATGTGCTCTCTTAACTTCGCTATCGTCATCTCGTTTTCCGAAATGGATCATGGCATGAGATCCCTTGCGAGATCCTTCCGTCTTCTTACCAAATCTCAGCAGGTTATGATTCCTTTTTTCAGAAGATTCGGGATTCCAGTAGTACGGAACATTATCATCATTCTCCCAGATCCTCTTCCCGAAATGAATCATCGAATGAGAATCACGTTTCTCTTCGTTATCATTGTCGAATTCTCGTTTCCCGAAGTGAATCATGGAATGTGCTCTTTTGTCCTCTTGCGGTAAATCACTCTCATCGCCTTCATCTTCACGCTTTCCAAAATGAATCATACTATGAGCTCTTTTCCCGTCGTCCCTTTTGCCAAAGGACAAAATGGCATGACCTGGGCCTCTCTTGCCGAAATACAACATAGAGTGACCATCCCGCTTTCCAAAGTACATCATAGAATGTCCTTCTCTCTTGTCTTCTTCTGGTAAATTGTCAGGGTAATAACTATCATAAACATCCTCACCGTCTTCTCTCTTTCCAAATCTCATCATGTTGTGATCTCTCTTTCCAAACCTCATGATGGTATGTCCTCTTTTATAAGAATTGTCACGACTTCTCTGGAGATACTGGATGATATCTGGAATAGCAGTTTGATCTTCATCCCTTTTACCAAAATAAAGGAAACTATGCTGAGGCGTTTTAGATGTATCTTCCCTCTTTCCAAAGTGGATTAAATTATGCCCACCTGCTGGTCGCTTTCCGAACCTCATGATATTATGTTGACGTTTCCCTGAAGCTAATATAGGTATGGAGTCCGACTTGTCACCACCACCGCCACCACCTAAAACAGAAAGAAAAAACTTCAAGTATTTTTGTATTTGTGGCTAAGGAAATAAAAAACATTTGGAAGAGAATTAAATATTTAAGTAATTAGTATTACGGTACATCACAAGCAGATTTTAGTAATGAAAATTAATGATGCTGTAAACTAAAATTTCTTAAATAGTCTACATTTACCTCAGATTTTCTGCTAAAATCGCAAAATATACCAGCAATATAAGCGAAATTTATTTATTTATTTTTATTTATTTATTTTTTTTAACCATCGAATAATATTAAGAATTCGAAAATAATGGTTAACCGTTTCGAATTCGTAATCATCAGACATTTTGTATTTTCTTATCAGACTGCTTCTTATGATTAGCCTTAGGTCGGAAGCCCCTCTGCCAGGAGAGTTGCTTCTTATGACTGACTCAGATGAGCAAAATGAGATGAGATAAATTTTGAAATAACTAATAAGTGACATTTAAATCTTTAAAATTACATACTGTTTAAAGGGTTTTGAGTAAAACATGAACGTCCATGCTTTATTGCCCGCACGGTTTAAGTAAGGATTAAAATGTATCAAAAAGATTTATTGGAAAATTTGTTTCAAGATAAACAAGGATAAGAGAAAAAAAACACTAAACTGAATCAATTCTTTTTGTAGCAGAGATATGGCTTTAGAAGCATATTTTTTCAGTACCATAACATTGCAAATGTTTATAAAAATTATCAGTTCGATATGTATATTGAATGCGCATTTTAAAACGAAATGTTTAGACAGAAGATTGCAAATAAAATAACGATTTAAGTAACGTGTTTTCGTTTTCAAAACACTAATTTTGTTACACAGCTACAGGTGGATTAAATCTGAAGGTAGGCGAATGATCTTATGTTCTGCCAGATAGAAAGAGAAGTGGTCTCACGTGATGGCGCTTGCTTTGTAAATAAATAAAAGACTAAACATTCGTGTAGTATCGGGCTTACTAAGGTGAAAGAATGACATATTTAAGGGAGCGCAACATCACAGATGAGGTTCAAACAATTCAGAAAAATTCTGCTAAAGAGGCTGATTACATAACAAGCAATTAAACATATTTAATCTATGCATTTTGAAGCCTTCAGGTTTCAAGCCATTGGAATGTTAAAAAGGAGAAAGTATGACTTTTAAAAATTATTTTACGTATTATCTTGCAACGGTTTCATTGAAAAACATTCTTGAAGAAACTTTTAGATTTATAGTAAATATCGATAAATGCCTAGTCAACTATTCGCTATCCTATCTTATCCTATCCGTTCTAGATATCTGCTAGAATAACTGTATCAAAAGGGGATACTACTGATAATATAGAAAGAAATGTAGAAATGATATATAGTTTTACTTTTGTTAAAATGGATTAAGGATAAAAGATGCTACTTCTAGGACACTAAACTGTTACGATTTCCAAATATAAAGTCAAAATTTAAATAGAATTGTATATACTAAATGCACTAAGAAAACAAAATGACACAAAAATTACTAATACATGTTTGTAAACTTTGAGATTTGGGGAACAGAAATTGAAAATATAAAATAAAATCATACACTTCAGTAAAACAATTATTTAAGTTACAAATTTCGCAAAAACTACGTTTATCATTTTCCTGAACTTATTTATAAAGATTTATAAGATTGAATGCTCTTAGAATGGAATTTTTGACAATAGTTCCTGGTTGGGCATTTTTTATATCTTTAACTAAGTATTTGAAAATTAGCATTTTAATGCATACACAAAAATGACAGAAGAAATAGATACTCCTGCTAGGACTGTATTGTATCAATATTTTAGTTGAAATTTCAAATTCGAGTTTTTATTCATTTGCTGTGATAGAATTATTAATGCAACTTACTCGAGCAATTACATTTTATAAAAATTAACAAATGAACAGTAGAGTTTTCAGTGTTAATATTATGGTACATCTTATATGTGTAATTTATATCTAAAATATCCATTTAAAATGTATGGAACGAATAACACAAATGCAAGCGCAATCTATAATGTTCAAATTATATATAAATGAGACAGCATACAAAATTCTGAAAAATATTAAAACTAAGTCATTAAAAATTGACACATACAGCATATGGCAAAAACAATGCTGTGATGCCTTATGTGTTGGTGGAAATATGTTTGTTCTCGATTATTAAGGAGAGAAAGGCAGTGATCTCCGATTAGTACCTGTATTTGCCCACCACGGGAGTTGAAATCTTTACTGTGTTGCATAAGAGTGTGGACGTTTGAATCCTCAAACAAAATAAAAGGGTTAGCAGCTGCTCCACTAAGTCATTCAACATTATTTGAGCTATAGTTTCATTAGGCGGAGAAGGCAAATGCATTTGACAGATAATAACCAATCTTCGGTCATTTGCTACGACTGCAATAGCGTGGAGAAAGGTTCTCTTATATAGGTCATTTGACGGACTGTCATGAGAGATTAGAAGAGGTACCCCACCATTGGTAATGCCATCTGAAACATTCTCTTTTTTAGACATCGAATATCTTCGAAGCTTCGTTACATTCTGTGGTCTCAGAAATATCTTCGGAACTCCGAAGCAGGCGGGATGGTGGTCAGCCATCAATTCAAGTCAAATTGTCAGCCAAACTCTGGTGAAAACCGAAACAATTCCAAAAGCTAACATGGTAGCTAGATGACTTTTTGTACTGTCGGATGCTGATTCTCAGTTTTTATTGTCTGTAGATGTTTAGGCAGCTGTAAACTTATCTATATCATATGGGTCTGTAAAAATATTTTCCGATGAGCTGATGCTCTGGCTTTGAGTGTTTACGTTTTTGACTTGGAGTTTATTTTGGTCTTTTTTTTTTCTTTCTCTGTTCCAATTACTACTATATTGCTAGGTTTGTTTGTTATTTGAACGAATGTTTGAGTTGCTTTGTTTTAAACATAACAGGTCTGAGTAGTAACTTATTTCACAGGCTTGGCAGCATCAGCATATGGCACATTACAAAGTGGCTGAGCGTCTCCTCTTTTCCTTCAAGATATGTTACATTTCTTATAACCTTAGTTGTTTGTACATCATTCTCAAATTTCCATATGGAGCATGATAGACAGAACGCCACATCTTTACAGTTCTGTCTTTGCAGTTCATACAGCGTGGCACAGAAGTACGTTGCTTTGTTTTCGTGGCCCACTACAGCGCAACGAGCACACATGGAAGCTCCACAGGACGAATCTTTCGAATGCCTAAAGCACGGAAACTGGAAACAGAGCAACAGGTTTGGAATTAATGGCCTCACTGGGAAGTTTAGACAGCCGGCTTAAAAGCCAATAATGGATTTTGATAACTCTGGAGAACTGAAAATCACGACAACATGGCTAGTGTTTATCATTACACTATCACGTCAAATTTCTATACGCTTAGCTCTGCAGATACTCTGATCACTTAGATCATCAGCAAATTATTATTCTGACACTCTGATAAGATCTATTTCGGAGATAATCCCACGAGAAAAATTCAGAGTCTTGTGTGGAGTTAGGCTGATAGCTATGGATTCCAAATTGGTAATTTGGAGTAAGCAGACTAACTGGAAAGCTGTAGTAATTTTGACAAGTCTCTTGAGCGGAACTTTTCATAAGTTCATTTCGATTCACTAGCATGAGTTTTTATATACTTATGCAAGAAAGATATCTTTTGAATTTCCCCTGTGACAGAAGTTACTATTAAAAAATAATGGGCTAATTTTGCACGTACAAATTTTACATTTGTAATTTTTGTCTTCTTTGTTGTGTACACTTGAATTCGAGTATGCATTTGAAATACCCATGTTTAGAAAACTAGAGACATTCGGACCCGGCGGCCCCGACCACCCCCGAATCCATAAAGAGTCGTTGCGCCAGGACTACCCGGGTGTATATGCAAAGTGAAGCCCCATACTGAAAGCAGGTACTTTCGAGTGATTCTTCCCAAGTCACTGACAAAAAAACTAGTGATGAGCAAAATGCCACCCATGAGGACAATAAATACCTCCCGTTTAGCTGAAGCAAAGGCCAAACCAGTGTGTTGGGACACTACTTCGCCTCTTCACAAACAAGATCCTTTTTTCAAATAACACGGGTCTCCTCGTACAGCAAACATGTGGGCAGATTTCTCGCCCACATTTCATTTTGAAGCTAAACATGAGGTTTGTAATAGAATCTCATGACAAGCCCCAGCCGTCAAGGAAGAAAACCACAAGAGAGAAAGATGAGGTAAAAATTATGATTAAGAGGAGGCGAAAAGGAAAGAGGAAAGATCTCTAGGGCTCCAAGATCGTAACACCCGTCTAAGAAGATGGTAAAGCGCGGATATAACGTATATAGAAATTTGAAATCATGGTTACGAAATAGAAGATGGCTATAAAGCATTTTTATTTCTTAAGTGTCAGTTTTTTGGTTTTATTATACGGTATTTCTTCTACCTTCTTTGCATGTCTTCGTAGTGTAGTGGTCTGCACGCTGGGCGCGTATTCCGAAGGTCCGTGGTTCGATTCCCGGCGAAAGCGTTGATCATTTTTCATCTCTCTTGCTTCGAAATAACCTAATGTCTCTACATTATAATCGTGTTGCAAGTTTAAAAATCAGGCCAATATAAAAATTTTAGTTTGTAGATTTATATAAAATTTTTCAGAGTCTGACAGTGATTGCTATTGGTCATTTTTTAAAGAGGAATGAAGAGTCAAATAAATTGGATATGCTAAATACTTCTTTGCGACTTATCTATTTTTAAAGTCTATTGCCATCCGAAAAAATTCACAACCATTGTTCCTGAAGACTAATAGAAGAACGTTTCCCTGTTAGGGTGACAGCTCATTAAAACGTTAAAGGAGAAGACAACAAATTTATGATGTAAAAGACTTAAGAGTCCCCCCCCCCAAAAAAAAAAAACTAGTGCATGAATAGAGAAGTTTTTTACATTTAACAGGAGGAAAATATTATGTTATAGCTGATAATATTTTTATCCTGGAAATATTATTTTCTGTT